ATTTATATTTCACCAAAAATATTAGGTGCAAAAAGTGCATTCTTAATAGGAAAAAAATTAGAAGACATGCCTTGTATACAAATAATTTATCTAGTCTGTTATTTGTATTGATGTTTTCTACTCGGGTACAATTCTCTAATAGAATGATACCAGTTTTCATGTTACCTTTTCCCAGATTAGGAATATTTCATTATATTTTTAAATGGGAGGATTTATTTCCACACCCCCAGGGGAATATCTCAAGTCCAATGGATAGTATGCTGGTTTAATATTTAAACCCCAGAAATCAGAATGCCATCAGGTTTTCAGTCAGTGAGGTGTTCATGGAGTTCACATGGGAATCATTCAAAGAGGTTATTGTGCTCCTGTGGTCCTGAGCAATAGGTAACTCAGGGGCAATTTTAGAAAAAATTCCTCTCTTCAGTTTTGAATGCCACTGCTTTCAAAAATCTGTTGACTTGCCAAGCCTCACTCAGTCTGGACTCATTTTTAAGGCAGTTTTGAAAGTATCTCAGTGCTGCTAAGGAAAGAGTCTGTAAGTGTGCTTCAAAATGAGACATTCACAAATCTATTACTAATTTTGGAATTCAAAACCAGCCTCACTGAAATACTCCCAGCAGGTTTGCAGCCCAGAGAAGCAGCAACAACAGCACTATAGACAGACATGGGGAGTTAGATGTGGGGTACAACTATGGGTAAGAAAAGATTAGGGACGAATTAGGGGAAGGAATAGTTATGACAGTATAAGGAACAGAGCTATCTTGAGGCCTTGGTTTAGGGTTCTAGAGGGGAATACAAGAGTTTAAAACGGCAAAAATGCTAGTTTGAAAGGTAGGAGTGAAGTTAGATAGGTATGGGAATAAAAAATATACTGGTAGGGGAAAGAAGTGGGATCAAATGGGAAAGGTTTATTGGGTGCATTAATAGAAGTCAGCAATTGAATAGAGTATAAGATGTGACTGGGGAGAGTGTTGGAGGCAGAATGATGGGATTTGGTTTACATAGAGTGGAATGAAAGGGAAGGGTCAACAGACCCATGACAATAGCAATGAGTTACATCCACAGCACCTTTCATCTAAAGCTCTTTGCAATGGCTCAGAAAGAGTCAGAGGTGGTATAAGTGACACATCAACAAATTGGTGCAACATAATGTAACTTACAAATCAAGGGGGCTAAAAGACAGGGCTGCTACAGAAAGAGCAAGTAACAAGAGTGTAAGTAGGTTCAAGATGAAGCACAGGTGCAAGCCTGTTACAACTTCCTGTTAATAGTTTTTCTCACTACACATGCCAAAGTTGGCAGAAGAGGATGGTAAAACAAACCACTTACCAACAGTTAACTTACACCACCACCAATGGTATCTCCAAGTGATAGTGTATTTGTCTCTGTTGAGATAAACACTGAGATACTAATCGTTTTGTAAACATCCAGGGTTCTAGCACCAGAGCCTTGACCAAATTCCACTCCTCGCCAAATCCCAAAATTACACATTGTCTAATATAGCTTATCTCAGCTCCTTCAATGGGAAATAAATGGGTTTATTTCTCCATAGCTTGTTCTAGTACATTGCGATGTAGTGCAATGTTAAACAGGTTATATGTTCCATCCCAGAGGTAGCTGCTCAGGGATTGGTGAAGTTATACCTTTTTTGATTAAAAGATCCATCCCCCAGCCAATGACAGCTTTGCAGTGTTCTGGCAGCATAAAACAGTTGGAAAGCAGCTTAACCAGCTACCCGGGGATTCTCTTACAGTAAGAGGAACACCTAGATGGCACTGAGACAATGTAGACTGACCTAGACCACCACCACCACCTTCACAGCGCCAAGCATAGGGAGCATGGACAATCAAATGTGGCCAGAGAGCTGCTGTGCTCTAGTGATCTCCAGAAAGGTCTCTTGGAGGCCACTGTGGCCAGATACCCCTTAAAGCAGCTCTGAGGCTACTCTACTAGGGGCCAAACTGACCATCCTCTAACCCAGGGGTGGGCAATAATTTTTAATGGAAGGCCACTCCAAGATTTTAGCAAGTGGTCAAGGACCTCACTTCTGTGGAAGGGATGTGATCTGGGGCAGAGGCTTGGAGTGTACAGTCCAGTATGGGTGCAGGAGAGGATTTTGGCCTGGGGGAAGGAATCTAGGAGGGGGTGCAAGTTCTGGGAGGGAGTTGTGACCTGGGTGAAGGAGGTGCAGAGGGTTGGGTGGTGACTTGAGGCAGGGGAATGGAGGGCAGGGTCAGGGAGAGGAGGATCCTGGCCTATGGGAAGAATATAGGCGGGGTGGAGGGAGTTGTGACCTGGGAGAAGGGGGAAAAGGGGTACAGAGGGTTTGGATGGTGGCCTGGGGCAGGTAGTCAAAGGGGAGAGAGGCAGTCTCTGGCTGGGAGGCACTTACCTGCAGAAACCTGAGGGGCTACATCTACACTGGCCCCAAATTCCGGAAAAGCCATGCAAAGCAGGTAAGTCAGAATAGGGAAATCCGCGGGGGATTTAAATATCCCCCGCGGCTTTAAATAAACATGGCCGCCGCTTTTTTTCCGGCTTGGGGAAAAGCCGGAAAAAAAGCATCTAGACTGTCGCGATCCTCCGGAATAAAGCCCTTTTCCGGAGGATCTCTTATTCCTACTGGAATTAGGGGCCAGTCTAGACGTAGCCATTGGTTTAAAAACAGACTTTGGTTTGAAAAGTTGCTAGTTGGGAACATCTGCTGTTTGATGGGCAGGCTAGGCTTTCTCCCGGAAAAAAAGCGGCGGCCATGTTTATTTAAAGCCGCGGGGGATATTTAAACCCCCCGCGGATTTCCCTACTCTGACTTACCTGCTTTGCATGCCTTTTCCGGAATTTGGGGCCAGTGTAGACGTAGCCAGGCAGACTGTCCATGTGGCTCTGCTCCCGGCATGAGGGAGAAGTGGTGGATGGGGAGGGAGAGAAAAGGCTTCCCAAACTACCTCTGCACCCAGCAAAAATTCTCAGCTCCTGTTGGCTGGAAACTGAGAGATTGACCAATGGGAGCTGAGATATTTTGCTGGGAGGAGAGGAGGATAGTATGGGAAGTTTTCCTTTTCCCTCCCCAGTGATCCAGAGTGAAGAGCAGCTGGCTTTTTGAAGCGTGAGCTGTTCTCTGCTTAAGGGGTCCGGCGAGACAGCCACCGGCCAGATCTGGTGGCTTGGTGGGCTGGATCCGGCCCACTGGCAGCCTCTTGCCCATCCCTGATCTAACCCCAAGGTCAGGAGACACACACCACGTATCATGTGGCCATTTTTGCCACACTCATCCCTCAGCTACACCACTTGCCATCCTAACACAGATGAGGATCTGGACCAGTAGCTATGCATGCCATAAAACTAGCTGTATTTGTTGTAAGCTTATTTTAAAACTTCCTGCTGCTCTTCCCCCAGTTGCCATTGTGCATGTGCTACTGCTGTCATGGGACCAGGTGGGGCAACTGCAGCCTTCTCCTACCTCCAGCTTCACTCCTCCAGTGGCCATCACAGTCTCTCTCTCATGTTGTCACCACCATGGAAATAGGAGCACTGTCACCTGGCTCCCACCTGCACAAGCTAGCTTGCAGCATGAATTGAAGTTCAACAAACAAAAATATGCAGCTGCTCTTGTCTATGTAAAATAAAGTAAGTGCAACCAGTCCAGAAGGAAACATGTTTTCAGTAGGTCTGAGTGGCAGGTTTAAGTGGCATAGAGGGCATAGGGAATAGTACATCATTAGTGGGGCTACTGCCCCCGCCCTAGTATAGTTATATTTGAAAAATACTAAAGCTAAACTAAAAAATTGTGAAATTGTTTCCATTTCACAGGATTTCCATTCTCACTTGTTCAACTGTTTTTACAAAAAATGTAAGCTAATTTAATAGAAAATGTTTCTGAATCTATTGTTGAAAGTTTTCTTTTACTATAAAAAACTGCCAAACATTGATTAAAAAAATCACAAGACATTACCAATTTCAAAAAAGTAAGTTTCTCATGGAATGTTTTTGTTTTTGGTAAAAGGCCATTATCCAACAACAACATTCACTCAGAAATCTCAAGCAGCTCCACATAAATGCTAAAAATGAGTAAAAAGGATAAACATTAAGACACTATCAGATGGGTGTTAGGGTTGGATGGAGGTGAGAGTTAGATGTGAGCTAAGTTTAGCTTATGGAGCTGGGTTTAGAAATGGGAGACAGGATCAGAGTGACAAGTTTAGAATCAGAGGAAAGGGTAGCAGGGGAGGGCACATGAATGCAGCTTCCATCCTGTTTGGAATAACATTACTGAAGTGCACTTTTGCCCATTGTCTCTGCACTTTTATATGCCCATCTACTCACTTTCAGATGGCACTGGCTTCCATGGAGTAAGATGGAAAGGCCAGGAGAGGAGCGTTGGATGAAACAGAGAAGGAGTGATAAGGACTGGGTCTGGCAGAGAGAGTAAGGGAGCACAAAGGGAAGAGGAGAAAGGGATGACAGTGAGATTCAGGAAAAAGGTCATTGAAGGGGGCAGGTGGAGGAAGGGGGAGACGATGGATCTGGGTTGATTGAGATCTCAGGTGATCTCGTGAGAGGTCAGAGGAGCATGAGGAGTTGGAAACAGAGGGGATCCGAAGAGCTGGAGTTGACTGGATCTGAAAGGCTGAGAACCAGGGACTGGATTCACACGGGGCTGGCGCTGGGCTCGTGGGGGTGCGGGCAGAGAGACGAGCACAGAGGGGTGCGGGCAGGGAGGGTTGTGTGCTGGGCTCCCAGGGTGCCAGGCAGGCAGGCAGGGCAGCAGCAAGAGGCGCGGGCTGAGGCTGCGGGACTTACCGGCTGGAGTTGACTGGATCTGAAAGGCTGAGAACCAGGGACTGGATTCACACGGGGCTGGCGCTGGGCTCGTGGGGGTGCGGGCAGAGAGACGAGCACAGAGGGGTGCGGGCAGGGAGGGTTGTGTGCTGGGCTCCCAGGGTGCCAGGCAGGCAGGCAGGGCAGCAGCAAGAGGCGCGGGCTGAGGCTGCGGGACTTACCGGCTCCCTCGGCGGTCACGATGGCCTCGGGGGAGATGCAGACGCCGCGGTCGTAGAGCGGCAGCTCCTCGCAGGCCAGGCTCTCGGGCCAGGCGTGGCGGTACTTGATGAGGACGGGCTCGCAGCCGGCGCGGGCCCGCTCGCACACCGACTTGCAGGGCTTGATGGGCTCGTGCTGGGAGG